CACTTTACATACTGCACATTCACATTAGCCCCTGCCCTCAAGGAGCATACAATCTAAGGTCCCTATTGTGCACACATACTGTACAAGGGCCAATTTAGACAGGAGCCAATTTACCTTCCATTATGTCTTTGGAGTGTGGGAGGAAACCGGAGTACCCAGAGGAAACCCACGCAAGCACAGGGAGAACATGCAAACTCCTTGCAGATAGTTTGCTGACTGGGATTGCTTCAGGATAGTGGCACCTGCTGATTAGCAATACTCTGACATGTGGCATTAGACCGTATACGTGTTCTGGTAGAATCTTGTTGCGTATCTGAACACTGCAGGAATGCTTTTATCACATCATCTACACTGTAGAAACACAAGCTTCACAATCACAGTCCTTCTCTATGGGGCTACGAGGCTGTACGCCCCCCCCACGCTCACCTCAATTGCAGGTCCGTAGGGGTGCGGGTGATCGTATTCATACGCCGCCGGAATGGATCCTGTATGCGTCCCGGCCAGAAAACCCGCACCCCTATGGACCTGCAATTGAGGTGAGTGAGGTGAGCGTAGGGGGGCATACGGCCGCATAGCCCCATAGAGAACGACGGGGGCTGCGTACTAATCACATGCAGCACCTGTCCTTCCCGGCAGCTGCTCGGTATGGCCCCGCACGCAGCATGGAGCTGTACGTGCTGGCTGATTTGTGTGTTAATGGGGCCTTAATAGTGCTGACCCAGGCTGTACAACAGTCAGTCACAGTCACTCTCTCTCCACATGAAATAGCCTTCATTTTATTAAACAATATATTCACATTCTTCTCAAGACAGTGGTTTTGTTTTTGTTATTTGTGAACTTGAAAATTAACATTTTCGAAATGTCAGTTCCTTGCAGCCCAATTAAAGACAATCTTATTCATTGCAACATCATTCTATTTACTTTTCCCAGCCTTTATAATTCAGTCACTATGTTTTGTGTTAAAATGCACCTTCTCTTTACCTTTCCACATTAATGAAACTTACATCCATTCCAGTGGTCCCTTGCCATTCTACATCAAAGCATAACTGGAACTGAACTATCCATTTATATAACTATTATTGAGTAGAGCTTCCATCTGCTACTTTGGTCTCCAGAGACAATCCTTTATTTTGAACTGTGAAGTTTCCATTTTTAAAACAGCAACTCCTGATGCTCCAAGACTAATAGAATTAAATGGACAAGGCTCTCAAACCTGTTTGGAAAAGTTCCCTCAAAATGGTATGTATTTGGATTTAAAAGGTATGAGGGTATAAACCTTGTATTATTGCTTAAGAAAAAGTACACTTATGATAGTTTTTGTGTATAAAAAAAATATCACAAAATACTGTACATATGTGATTCCTGGTGTGTGCTATCAATGCAGGGTCAGAAAGCTTGAACAAATAAATGGACCATAACAGCATTTGGGCTGACTTACGAAAAGTGTTAATAAGCGTTAGTCAAAAAATGTGTGAATATAAAAACCAAATTCTTGTACCCAATCATGTACAGATGTTTTTCACATGATTTGACAAATAAAGTGAAGATTTAAAACTCCTTCAGTAAATCAGCTTTATTGCCTTATCTACATATATGACCACTTAATATATGTTTTTGCTTTTAGTATGCTAGAACCAATTTAGAACTTCTATTTTTTAGAGAACATGCACATGGACTTTAAAGCATTTCCTTCTCACTCCTACTACTTGGATCCATTTATGCCTTTGTAGATCTTTTTTTTTTATTTCGATTTATTGGATTTTTCAGGTGTTAAACATGAAACACAGTACATTTACATGGAACAGATTGTCAGTGCAGTCGGTACAAAATATAATTATTGAGTCAAAGTCCCATGTAAGAGACAAACACTAACAAGGGGAAAGACAACAACATGCAAAAAGGGAGGGGGTGGAGGGGGGACGAGATAGGCTGGGGAAAAGGGTGTTTGAACTTGCTCTAGGGCAGAATGGTGGTAACATTTGTGAAATAGGTAGGTACAGGTGTTATGCGGTTTTGCACAATTTCACAATTTATATTTTGTTCTGAGTGCGGTCCCAAGCATATTTCCAGGTAGGTGTATCAGGTATAGAACCTAAAAATATAAGTATAAGTGGTACCTCACCAGAAGCCGCCCGCTTAAATCCTCAAGGGTGGGCCTCGCATCGCGGTTAACCAACTAAGGTCACTTCTCATGGTCAAGCAAGTGAGATCGATAGGTATCAGAGTCCCGAAAGGCCAACCAACAGGCCCATTTCTTATTGAAAGTAGAGTACAAGTCCTTGTCGGTGTACATTAGTTCCTCCAACAATCTGATGCTGTCTACTTTTTGGAACCAATCATGCAGGGAGGGGACGTTGGCGGATCTCCAGTATCTCGGTATGAGAAATTTGGCTGCATTCAATAGGGATGGGACTATTGATTTCTTGTATGATTGCAGGGAGTCAGTGATGAGGTGGAACAGAGCCACCCAAGGATCTCTTGGGAGCTGCTCACCACTGATGTGGTGAATGATCTGGAGAACCATTGTCCAAAAAGGCATAATCAACGGACATTCCCACCAAATATGAGCATAGGAGCCAGGGTTCCCACACGACCACCAGCAGTGGGGATCAAGGAGAGGGTCGAATGCGTCCAACTTGGTAGGGACATAGTACCACCGAGATAATAGTTTTGTAATTAGTTTCTAACATTAGGACATCTATCGATGAGGTCGTAACCAGGGCCATTACACGAGATCTTTCCTCAGGGGTAAGTCTGTCTCCCACTTGCGTATGAACGGCGGAGGTGAGTTGTGTTCCTCGTTGAGTATGGCTCTATAGAAGTAAGAGAGGCAGTGAGTGGGCACAGATTGGCGCTTAGAATGGATTCAACAAAAGTGAAGTCTCGGGACTCTCTTAGTGGTTTTGGGAGTGAGCCCTTTAAAATGGGACAGCTGGCAGTGTTTCCAGGAATCCAGGGGTATCGTGCCCCATTTGGATCTCAGAGTCATCAGCGGTGTTATGGAGGTACCAGTCAATACATCGCCCAGTTTAAGAGTGGTAGATTCCGACCACTGTGCAAAGGATCTGTCTACTCGCCCCGGAGGGAAGAAGTCAGAGCCCTGCAAGGGCATAAGGCTTGAGTTGTGTGGCCATCGAAACCTGCAGTGTAAGCGGTCCCAGGAGCGTAACGTGGAGGAAGTCCTGTAAAGGAGCACCACAGACCGCAGTCTCTAGGAAAACCCAACTCTTACCTGAGTCCCCATATACCCAGTCCACCACTCTCACCATCTGGGCCGCTACGTGGTAGGCCCGGAAGTCCGGGAGGGCTAGCCCTCCATTCCGCCGGATTCGTACCTGTATCCTACCCACAATCCTCGGAGCGCGGTTCTGTCATATGTAGGTAGACGTTATTCTGGCAAGGGTCCTGAAGTGTGAACCAGGCAATTCTATGGGGAGCATCTGGAACAGAAACAAAACTTTAGGGAGAATCATCTTCACAGCGTTTATCCTCCCTACCCAGGGTAATGTACGTAGGGAGAAGGAGGTCAGGTCTGCTTTAACCAAGTTTAAGAGAGGTATGAAGTTGCAACGGTAGAGGTCTGAGAGCCTACGTGGTAAGTGAATGCCCAAATATCGGATGGAGTGGGGACGCCATTGGAAGGAGAAATGAGGGAGGAGTGCTCGACTGTCCTCTTCCGTCATGGTTAGGTTAAGGATTTCAGTTTTACTGATATTAATTTTAAAGTTTGAGAGAGAGCCATATTGATCTAGTGAAGATATTTGTGGGAGGGATACCCGAGGGTTACGGACATAAAACAGCATATCAACCCTGGTCCTCGATCTTGTACAGGGCTTGTCGGGTGTGAAGCCAGGATTGCTTACCCTGATTCTGAAGCTCCTGGATGGCCTGTGCATGTTCATCTAGACGATCCTCCACGGCCTCCATGCGGTGCAGTGTATGCAAACGTTCGGACCTGAGTGCCGTCAGGTCCGTCTTAATGGAGGTCTCAAGTCGGAGGAACATGACTGATAGCTCCCTCTTGGTCGGCATAGAGCATGCCAGAGTGCGTATTGACACTTCGGAGCAGTCATCCGAGCCTTCCACATCCGACTGGGCCGAGCTATCATCCCGTACGGGCTGTCGGCGGTGAGTAGAGGCCTTTGCAGGCCACGCTGGCGATAGGGTTGGAGGCGCGTGCAAGGCCCCGCGGTCGTCCGGCGGGGATTTCACCGACCATAGGCGCTTGAGCGAGCCCGCACTTGATCTCTTTGTGGGGCCCGACTTTTGGCCTCTTTTTCCCCCCATGAGGAAAGCAAAGGGAGTAGGCGAAGTGTCCGTTTATCAGAAGAAACTCGGGGATGGAGCGGGAGCCTCAGTTAAGCAAGTCCAGACGTCGCCATAGGTAAGCCACGCCCCCCCTTTTGTAGATCTTTAGGCGATAGGCAGTGATGACTAAAATAATCCAGTAATTTCCCGGCAAAATAAAACCGCATATCTAAAAGATCCATGCCCCAGTAAAGAAACCTAAAGTTATGTTGTACTCTACTCTATCTCTACCAGAGTGTCCTTCTTTTAGAAACATGTAGCCAAGTCTGCATTACTGAATATAATGTAAATGTTTTTATGTTAGTTTCTCTTATTTTTGAAGATTAAATAAAAGATGAGGAGGAGAAAATTGTACCCATGTGCAGAGACTCTGAGCAAATGTTGATTCAAAAAGCCACAAATATCCAAATAGCAGACAACCATTTTTCCATACCATGTCTATCGCATATTTTGTGTTATTATCTACTGCTTAATGTGTAATTAATTGACAGAAAAATCACATGGTACAGCTGTAAACATTTAAAAGTATGATAGTTTCCGTTTAGGGATTCCTTCAAACCACACAGCAACATTTCCAGCAATAATGTTGCTTCCAAAATAACAACTGTACTTAAATAAGTAAAACAGAACTTAATTTTCTCCCAGGACCATTACATGGTAATAATCATTCAGTTGGAGATTAAAAATATTACCTTAATAACCAAATCAAATTTCTGGTGCAAATCTCTATTTACTGGCTTTAGGAGTGTCAGCACAGCGGTGGTACGATTCATATGGAAATATTCAGTATAATCCTCTGGAGTGCCTGGGAGAGAAGAAAGCATTGTGAACATCTAATTGACAAAGAACAAAAATAATGATTGTTTATAGCTTAGCACCTTATGTATGTATGATGCTGCTTTCATTTGATTTTAAATGAGCCAATAAATGCATTCATTTCAGCTCACTGTTCATAAAAAATGCAAGAAAGCTTAAAAGAAACAGAACTTAATATGATCAGGGACCAACTCCATTGCATATGATACCAACCGTTCAATACGTCTCAGCTTTTAATAACCCATCAAACATTGTGTTGCACAATAGTCAAAGTCTTATGCAATTTATAACTGAGGGAATTACATTTTTCTGGGAATTAGTTGTGAAATATTTAAACAAAAACACTAAAGATTCAAAAAATTGAAAGAATAAGCAGAATAATATGAGTTGACATTGGTAGGTGTTAAATAAGTATAGTGTCACACTATGTTTATAGGAAGAAAGTGTTAACCTTTCTGAGTATAGAAACAAAATGAACACTTTGGGAAAATGGTTCAAAGTGTCTGTTTGTTATTCAGTTAGGCAACACTCTTTTTACTTTCTTCCTCGTAATACTGGTAAATTTTAGGCATGCATTTATGCTTTCTAGTATTTTCATGTGCCTCCATTATCATCAACAATAGATCATTTTTTTTAATTTAATATATTTTTATTTCAATATACAAAAAAAAAAGAAAAATACATAACATATCTTCAATTATACTCATACATCATAGCTTGTCCCATAAGTAACCTGACAAATAGCTCTTAATTTATACATTTCTAAATTACTTTACTATCTATGTAGCTATGTTCATTCATCTTAGTCTCACCTAACCTCCTTTTCTCTCTTTCCTTACCCATACACTATCTCCCATTATCCACAACTTCATCCGGAGAAAGAGGGGGAAAGTAAAAATACTGTGCATAATGTGATCGAGAAACCTAAATGTGTTTCTTATTTCTAAATATACCCCTTCAATTACTACACTTAACCCAGTGAGGTATAGTTTATTAATTATTCAACCGTGTCTTAAGACCCCCTTACCCCCATTGGACCCTACTTTGTGTTACTCCTCGCCCTTCTGTGTGCCCTATCCTATATATGTGTTCTACTTTAAAATGTTATTTCCCCTTTATATCTTAAATTAGTGTCTCCCCTAAAGTGCATATACATATCACGGTGAGCTACCCCTTAAACTCTTAATTCACCTGAATTTATACCTTAACCACCCCTTGTCTCCCCATCCACCCCCACATTAGCCTCATTCATCTCCTTCCTTCCAAACCCACAGGTCAAATGCTAAATGTCTAATAAAAAAATTAAATCTAATTATTTTTATTTCTTTAAGTCCCTCTGGGATTTATCTAATTGCTAAATGGTCCTTATGATTCTAGGAGACTCTGCTTCTGTACCCCATCTTTTCCTCTCTATCTTTCATTACCATTTTCCTAAAAACCTCTGTCTTCCTGAATGTTTCCCATTTCTCCCATATATTCTTGTGTCTATCTTTCTTATCGGAATCTATTGCGATCATTTCCTCCATACATCTTATTTCTTCCAATGTAATCTCCCAACTCTCTAATGAAGGTGGGGTCAGGGATTTCCACTCCCGTGATATATTGACTCTCGCTGCTGCCCGAACAAATCTCAGGATATCAGTCTTTATCTTATTTGTGGGGCCAGGAATTAATGATAACAATGCAATTGGGGGGTCGTTCTCTATGCTTAAATTCCCTATGGCATGATATACTTTGAATATTAACTCCCAGAATGTCTGTAATCTAGGACAGCTCCACCAAATATGTAGGAACGTTCCCTCTTCAATGCAGCATCTCCAACATCTATCGGACTCTCCAGGGTTTATGTGTTTAATTCCTACTGGGCATCTATACCATCTTGACAATATTTTAAAGTTTTTTCCTGATAGAATGAAGATTTTATAGAACTATGTGTCATGGTGAAAATTCTTTCCCACTCTTTCTCAGTGATCTCCCTCCTCAACTCCTGTTCCCATCTCTTCGTGTATTTTGTGTTATCTTTAGCTTCTGCATCTCTCAAGAGACCATGAACTTGTGATAATGCATGTTCAGGTTTTATTTCTTTCAAGCATAGTTTCTCAAAAGGAGTGAATGGTCTGTTCAGAGATTTGCAGGTCCTAAGGTGTCTAATATAATCCACTAACTGTATGGCCTCCATCCATAGCTTTCCATTGTTTTGTCTCTCTGGTCTAAGCTCTAGTTTTAACTCTTCTCTACCATTCTCTAGAACCTGCCAAATCTGTGTGTGTGAAAAATGTTCAATATTCAAGAAAGAGGCTGCCTGCATTCCCGGTGGAAATTGAGGATTACCGGCAATGGGAGTCATGGGACCAGAAAGGGACGATAGATGATATTTATCAACAAATCTGTCCCAAATTCTTAGCACTGGTTTAACTAGATATGGCAAATTGGACATATGTGGTCTATCCTGTGATAAAGGGGCCTTACCTTTGATACGTAGTGCTCTCCCAGTCCCACTTGTAAGAGAGATTCCCTAAAGAAGAGCCAGTTTACTCTATCAAATGCTTTCTCAGCGTCAATTGATCAGTTAAATGAAAAACAGAATTAAAAGGAGAGAAGATTCAGTATCACAAGGGAGGATGGAACTGCTCACTGCTGATGGAGGTACCGCCAATCATGAATTCAGCGCTGAACTTCCCAGAATTTCCTGGCTGACACTATAAGCCACAAAGCCTTGGATAACAATTAATGTTTTCTTATCCAGCAGTTTCCTATGGATCAGCAGCAAGTGGGTTATCCAGATCTCAATCTGATGGTAATCCCTAAGAGCACAGAGTGCAGACACTCCTTGTTAAGAGTGAGCTTTCCAATGGCAGGAGTATTGGATATTGTAATGCTTATATGTTTCCTTCAGTCACTGGTTTCAGACCCTCAATTATCCAGGTAGGGTGATGGCAATCATTTGTCTGTGGCCCATCCATCCAGGGTTCTTTCTCTTGTAGACTCTGACCCTGCAATCGTCTACTCATTCTGAAAATTCAGACCTGCTATAGTAGATGCTACATCTAAACACATTCTAAATTACGTTAGGTGGCTCGGAGGCTGGAAGTTGCCTGCCTTGCTTGTATTACTCATCTTCATTCATAGATAGATTGTTTGTATGTATGCTAGAGCACCTGCTAAATGTCAGATATTCTACAGGAATGATAAATGTATAGACTTTGCAAGCTCTAAGGGTTTTGACTCTCTTCCCCTTGCCATGACAGATATATTGGAGTTTCTTCAGGCAAGCATTATGTACTTGGGTGTCAGTACCCTCTATCCGCATCCTCGGAGACAAAATGGGCAGCTCATTTTTTGATAAGCCAGCTCTTAAGGGCTTGCGCAAGAATATACTCTTCAGGAAAGTCGCTTCAGTTTTCCCTTAGGATTTACAAATAGTGCTGGATATGTTCTTCTTTCTCGACTTCATCTAAATCACTCTTACTCAGATGGACAGTAACATGTAAAATAGTTTATCTTACAGCACTCCCCTCTGGAGGAAGGGTCTTGGGTAGTCAAGCTTAGGCTGAAAACCATTTTTTTGCTATCATTTCTCAGACAGGATAATCCTACATCTCTCTCCCAGCATCATCCAAACGATGGAAGATACTTCCATCTAAATAGGACCTTATGGACAGATTTAATGGTGTATCTCCAGAGTTATACTGGAAGGCAGTAACCTGGTATATGTTCCTGTCCCATTACAGTGTCAATCCAGGAATCTTGTCCATAGTGAAGTTTGGTTCTGAATGTGTTTAACAATTGTGTAAATTAGATAAATATCTCAACTTTTGCCCTCCCTTGTCTTTGCTTGCTATGTCCCATTCGTATGCTGCCATGTTGGTGTCAGGAAAACGAAAAATTGTATACTTACCTTTCGGTAATTTTCATTTCCTGACACCAATATATGGCAGCATATGGGACCCTCACATGGTTTTTGCATTGAGCGCTTGTTAAGAGAATGGTGGCCCTGGGAGGCATGCTTTAAACATTTACACTGCCAACATTGTGCAGAATACAGTGGATCAGAATGGTTTCCAGCTGGGGCAGGTAAGTATGTCATACTTCGGCTGCATTCTTACTTCTGCTATAAGCTCATAATCAAAACAGCAACTATGAACATATAGCAGTATAGAATCCCCTGACTCTGCTGAATTACTGTGCACTGATCACAGCCATTAATTAAAAAAGTGAACCCCTCTCACAACTACCGCCGCACCGCTGCACCTGTCAAATCCTCCCTCCCTGCACAGCCGCCATTCACCTGTTACAAATCTTTGTGTGGCTGCAGTCTGCTGGCTATGTGTCCCTTCCAATCCCTGCCTGCTGGTACAGAAGGGAGAAGAATCAGATTGTAGAATCAACACAGTGACATTAGTACTGATGATTCACTGTGTTCATTCATAACTGAATAGTGAACACTGAGTCACATGTTAACTATCAGTTCAGTTAGTGAACGCACAGAGAAGTGATTAGGCTGATTTGCTCCTGTGGTTTTTTTTTTTTTAAATAACTGAACTGATAATAGACAATACGCCATGTGTTTACTATCAGTTTATGTTATGAGTGAACACAGGAGCAATCAGCACTAATCTCTCCTATGTGCATTCAAATGCTGAACTGATAGTAAACATGTGACTCATGGTTTACTATCAGTTCTGTTATAAATGAACACAGTGAACCATCAGTATAACGACTCACAGTGTTCAGTGCTAGTGAGTTCTGGAGCTGCAGAGGAGAAAGAGATTGAGCACTTTCACCCTTTCTCTGTCTGAAAAGTGAAATATCAGGGGTCTGTTTAGACCCCTAAGATTTTATACTGAAAGCTTTAAAAAAGTAATTAGCCCTTACAGTTTTGCGTACCTTTTAGTTTTCATTGTTTGACAAATGCAGATTTAGCTTTTAGATTTAGTAGGCGTTTTGGAAGTTATGTTGTATCTCTATGTGCTAATAATGATTTTTAGTGTATTTTTAACAAAAAAATAATTTAAACATTTGCCCAACTTTCAGGGGACCTATAAAATTAGTAGCACCATCTTTTTATTCTATCGGTCCTCTACTTTTAGAAAATTTATTATGATGGTGGAAGTGGAAAAAAAGAGAAAAATTGCAAAAATGGTCTGCGGAGCGGAGGTTAAAAGTGGTGCATGGGCAATGAAAGGGGTAAATAAAATTTTTGGTCTGCAAAATTGCATGCAATATTTCATTTGAAGCCTGTAACATAGTGGTTAACACTTTTGCTGCCAGATCTCTGATTTTATTTCATGATAAAATCTGCAACTTCAATGTCCAATTATCATGTATAAGGTTTTCTGCTTTACAGCCCAGAAGCAATAGAATTATCTATTGTAATACTAAAACTGTACTTACCTTCTAATGATTAAAATAGTTTGAACTAAACATTTAGTTTTGTATTTTGAGTAAGGGTCCATAATAAAATTAAAACATACTTTCAAACACAAGAACTAAATAATTTTAGTTTACTCACCAACAAGGATAGAGAATAGGATGCCAGGTTGATCAGAGATTGGTTGAATATCCCGATCTTGGTCTTCAGCTTTTATAGGTGGGGTGACATTAAGGGGATTCACTTTTGCCTGAAAAATAAATATAAAACCACTGTTTAATCTACAAAAAAAAAGTCTTTTTTGGCTTCTTAGAAAAAAACTTAACCAATTTTAGTTGTGTTAGTTTTTATGATATATGCATTTTATTTAGTGTTAACATACAATGCATATATGTTGCAGATATTTTTTACAGGGCAAGATAGCACCAACATAAGCTTTTTGGGTGTATGAGTGCTCAGTACATGCTTATATCCTTATCACTTAGTTCTATGTGTTACAGAACGTTATTCTTGCAAGACCACTCTTTACATGGTTTACTAAAGCTTAAAGTGTAGTTAAACCCAAAAGCTAAATTAGTGTTACACTATATAGTAATAGCTGTCAACATTACTGTATGTTCTGGACCCTAAAGATCCAAAAAGGCCTGGTGGCTGCATCATGTTTTTCATTTATTTAAAATGGCTTTGGCTAAAATAAAATATGGAAAGATATGCACCTAGCAAAGAAAATATTTAATACATACCTCACTACATGCTTTGCTTCTCCCTCCAACCCCTAAAGCACTACAGATTCTGTCTATGTTATCATTAAAGAATGAGGACATTTCTCAATCAAAGCTCAAGCTAAACCTGACCTGAGGTTTTAATTTATTCCACTTTTACTGGACATTGTTTACATTAAAGATCTGTTTCAGAAACAGTTATTTATTTGTATTATATTATTACATATAAAGAGTTATAAACCAAGTGGGCTGATACCTCAACATAGTAAATGTAGGAACTGAAGCACCACACCAATTACAATAGTCCAGATACAAATTTATTCCATTAGGGTCATAGGAAAATCAATTAGAATAGCCAACACATTCAGGGGCTCAAAAAACACGACCTTCATCAGGCCTTAGTGAGAGAAATCATGTATATGGATTAAAATCTCTGCAGCTCGAAACTTGTATTGAGCTGTGATGGGAAAGCTTCTGGCTTGTCAGTAGCTGGTTTTGCAGCAACCAAGATTCTAGTCCACGTAAATGATTTCTCTCACCATGCCCTGCTGAAGGGGTGTTTTTTGGACCCCCAAATCACATTGGCTATTCTACTTGATTGTCCTCTGTCCCAAGTGGAGTACATTTGTATCTGGACTATTTTAATTGGGGCGGCGCTTGAATTCCTACATCTACTGTGGAGAGAGGGAGAGAGGGAGAGAGGGAGAGAGGGAGAGAGAGAGAGAGAGAGAGAGAGAATTCCCTCACATGGGTTTCTCCAACATAACAACACAACTTCAGCTTTTTCTTTCAGCAAACTAATGTTTTTTCAAAGTCTCACCGACTTCAGGTTATCACTTTCATCCTTTCCCACACAGGCTGTATCCAGCTGACTTGCCACACAGGCTGTATCCAGTATGGAGTCCTCCTGACTCTTGGACAGCCCTCATCCAGAAGAAATAATGAAACCTGCATCCTAAAATTTGTAATTAATATATCTGGACTCCATACACTTGAAATATAAATACACTAGTTGTATGTTTGAAGTGCAAGCATTTGAGTCTAAACATACAAGGCTATCATTAAATTCCCAATATATTCACACACATATTTTTATATCTATGGTCCTTGATCTATATCAACTTGAAATCACTCATAATGTTAGACAGTTGTCTTATTTCTATGGGTATACTAAAACCTAATCTGGAATACTACTACTAGCAGGTGGAGAACAGAATTCATAGCAGAAGCTGTAATAAAAAATTAAACATTTCTCAACTTTCCCCAAAAAAAATCTACTACAACCCTAGGCAAGTAAGGTTCATTTTTATTCTGAATTGTAATTCAGATGTATTTCGGCATATCTGGGTATTTGTATGCATCCGAATTTCTGAACAACAAAAATTTGGATGCATCCAAAAATTTTTTTCTGAATGTCATTCGGAATAAACTTATGTTGTTAAATGTAAAATGAGAAAAAAAAAACCTTTAGGTCTGGCAGGAATTTTAGGTCTTGTAAGGTGTTTTAGGGGGACCCCACTCTGTTTTTTGGCATTGGGGTCCCCCTAAAATACCTTTCAAGACCCTTGGTCTGGGCAGCAGCCTGGCAGAGCAGTAAAGAGGGTGTGATCATGCGGCCCCCTCCTGCACCATAGCAGGCCACATGCCCTCAACTTGGGGAGGGTGCTTTGCCAGGGGGGACACCATGGCAAAGCATCTTGTCCTCATGTTGATAAGGACAAGGGCCTCTTCCCCACAACCCTAGCCTAACGGTTGTGGGAGTCTGTAGGCAGGGGGGCTTATATGAATATTGGTGCCCTCTTTCATACAGTAAAGGGGCACCCAGATGCTGCCCCCAAAAAACGAGTAAGACTTTGTAGTATGGTGTGGTGTGTTTATTACTTATTTTACTGTTATTCAGTGAATGAATAGTTGTAAAAACGACCCCTTACTCTGTCACAAGAGGGGTGGCATCTGGTTGCCCCCTTTATGAAAGGGGGCACCCATATTCCTATAAGCCCCCTTTATGAAACAAAACAAAACCTCTTAAGAATAAGAAAGTATGAACACTTAAAAAGGAAATTAAATTAGTTTTGCATGCTCAGATTTTACAAAATTATTGGAAAATCTCTAGGTGCACAACTGTATTGCCTGTACCTAGTGGGCAATCCAAGGTACCTTTTTACCCAGATTTAAACATTTACAAATTGTTTAGGTTTAGCCCATAACTTGGTCCTGTTTTTTTACCAGAACTGAGCTCTATCTTACAGTAGAAAATGCATTCAACAACAGGAAAAAGATAAAGAAAACTGGACATTGGTGCTGAAAAAAAGTGAGTATTAAAAGTAGAATTCAAATAGCTAGAACAATTAGAATCATGCCAATGGTTCTAAAGATGATGAAAGATGCTCCATTTTTTAATAGAATGTTTAACTATAGGCCCTCTAGAACACCTTTATTGCTTTCATTGGGGCAGCTTATTTGCAATTCTGTATGCCAAATGAAATAGCTTTCTTCTTAAATAGTGTTTTATCCCTCTATCCAAGCCCCTATGTATGATTCTCCATATATTTATATTACTATGATGCCCATTTTAGAAAGCATGTGTAAACACTCCAAGCAAAACTTGCTATAAACATGAAGTTAATCGTCTGTTTAAATACATTACGACAACCAATTTGTTTGAAATCTCTTCCAAAATTAAAATTTGCCTTCTATGGTTTAGTATAAAGACTTTACACAGTAAGCTCTCCCTATATTATTGCTATTATATGCTGCTTCACTGGTGTCACTGCCAACTGCATTAAACAAAACATTGTAAAACAAAGTGCTTCTTATAATTTAGTGTGCCATTAAAGTGTATGAATTAATAGTTACCCATCAACAAGCAGATTGTTTTAAGTTCTTGTTCAGAAGTAACATTTAACAAAGTCTTTATGTAAATAAAATCAGAATGTTTGCCAAAGGTAACCAGCTAATTTCCTTCTATCCAACACTTCCTAATAGCTGTATACAAGATCGGCAATGATCAATGGATTACAAAAGAAAAGACCACCCAAACACCACATACTCACCCTTCATGTGCTTCCTCACTGTCCTATTTAGTTGGTAGAGTTAAGGGAAAATATCCAGTACTTCTGGGTATGGGAAGTTTGTGACTCACTCCTCTTCATCATGTGATTGCTGTTGAATGGGGGGTGAGGGGCACATCCCCAGCCTTGTGTATGCTCAAAGCCATCTGGAGCTTACGCATTGCATCCTCTTTTTGTTCCTGGGGCTGAATGGTGTGGAAGAGGAGCACAGGGAAGGTAAGCATTAGCAGCTGGTTGGGGGTGCCATGGTCAAGGTGCAGGTTAACTTTAAGACATGGCTTGTGTAAGTCATTTGTTTAAACAATGTCATATGCAATAATAATATGTAGTGCCTGTTTATATTTTTTATTTTAAACATAGTTGTTATTTTATGGTTTAAAAAAGTAAATTTTAGATGCATGCTTGAGTGACTGGCCTTATACATAGAAACTATCTTTGTAAATGTGTGACAATATGAAAATTCCATTCTTTTTTTGTAGCAATGGCTATTTTATGCATCCAAACTATGAATACTGCGAAGAGAATCTGACCTCAAGGGCACTTAATATAGGCAATTTATTATTTTTGCTCATGTTGTACACTGCACAACAATAGTAAGAAAAGGTGGTGTTTGAAAAACAGCTCAGAGTCTAATCAAAAGGTTAGTTCAAAGGTGTATATTGGGATCACCAAGTCATCTTACCAAGCTTCCTCACTATATATGTTTAGATTGGTGCTGTCAGTCTGATTCATATTTCAAGGGATGTCATGACACTTATTGTGTGCAGTCTGATTAAATGGAGATTATAGTAAAATGTGTTGCTATAAATACCTATATTATTATGGCTAAAGTAAGAAAAAGCTTCTCTCTCTTACTCAAACAGAATTTTACCTAACAGGAATGCTCTTGAATATTTTGGAAGATTTTAATTATTTATATAATGTTTTGTACCTTAGACCAATGTAATTGAAGACTTAATACAATAATCAATGACTAAACTGTATTGCAATTGTTAGTTGCCACAATTACTGTAATTTTTAACCATGTGACTGTGCTTTTTAGCTCTCATTGGCTTTTTACATTTAGAAATAATAGTTGTCACTTTTCACTGAATGCTAAAATGTTCCTAACATATGTTTTAAAATACTTTTATTCTTGTGAAAAATAGCCTGTGTAGGTATATCTAAATCCATTTTTTTTTTATTTTTTTTTTTGACAGTCACCATAATTCTTTTACTTCATTTAGGTTTTCCTTCAGAGGTCATAAAATTATTCTTTCTGTACTTGTAAATAGTTGTGGATACCGGAGTATCTGGGTCCTCCTCGCTATTGGAGGCAGATGTGGGGGGTAGACTCTAGCTCTTCCTCATGTCAAGCGATGAAAATTGAGTCATTGAGCATTCTCTGTTTTACTAACACATCTTACTCTCTACGTTTCAGAGAAGTTTTGATACCAGCGTTTGAGAGGAAAGGGATC